TGGGGTAGGGGGGGCGGGGGGGGCCATCCTGTCCCTGCTCTGGTTACCTCTTTGGTCACAGGGGTCTCCATGCAGCATCCTGCCAGCGTAAGCCGGAGCGGCTCACTGCCCTGGATGAAGCACTGCAGGCCCTCGTACTGGATAGCACGGCTCAGCTTAGAGGGACGGAAGGTCACAACAAAGGGGACATCCATTCCTGGGGAGATGTAACCCTTTGTGGGGCTGATGGAGAAATCTGGCTTGAAGCTCTCGATGTCCCACTTAAACCTTGCCAAGGAAAGCACAAGGACAGAAAGGAAGGATTAGCAACTGGGAGGCTGAGAACACAGTGTGCTGTTTCTAAGCCTCTTGTGGGCTTTTCCCACCAGATCTCAGGCATGGTGCTGAGCCACCTGGCAATAAGGCTTCAGGTTGGGCAGGACCCAGCTGCACCCATCTGTAAACAAGCTTTTGGTTGTATTCCTTGCTAACTTCCAGGGCCTGACTGCACAACTCTCCACTGGGATGAAAAAGCAGAGGGGAACTATCTGGGCAAGCTACAGGTCCCTCCAGCCCTCACCCAAGCTCTCAGCCCTCAGAGAGGACAGGGTTTTGCATTACTTGACTCCTATGTCGCCCGTGTTCTGCATGATGATCCGCTGGGATGTGTGGCTCTGCTGCACCACCGCTCCAAAGCTGAGGTGTTCCTGGTCCAAGCTCACATGGATGCCCTGGCAGGAGCCCCGCACCATGAAGAGGGAGCGCACCAGGCCGTTGCACTCCAACATCACTTCTTCGGTGAAGGGCTGGATGCGACACTTTGGGGAGAAGGTCACCTCTACTTTACAGGTATCTCCTTTGGGCTTCAGACTTAGTTCGCTGGTGGGATTCAAGCAGAGAACCTGCCCAAAGAAATGAGTGGAGACTACTTCATCTGGCAATCGAGCTGTGAATCCTCCGTCGCTAGGGTCAGAGAAGAGTCTTCCAATTCCTGTTCTGTCCCCACCAACATTGCCCCAATCCCACTCATTCCCTGATACGCTTTCCTAGGTACCAAAGGTGTTTTCCTGTGACGTGTCCATCTGGCCTTGGCAAGTGGAACTACGTCTTCTACGGTAATTTCATGTAAGCTCCAAGACAGCTGTAACTCTGGGTCTTTAAAGATTCGTTTATCTCCCTTACCTTTCCATATCTAAAAGACATGGCCACATCCTAACGTACCTGTCTGGAACAGGTTAGAGGAATCGTGCCTACTTCTCGCTTCTGCTATTAGGGGAGTCCTGACACCTAGCCCAGGTGAGGCATTCACATTGCAAGTATCTGCTGGTAGAGCAGTCCCAGCAGGGAGGACAGGACAGCATACAATTGTAATTAGTTACTAGCTCCCACCCAGAGCAGCTCATAGCTACCTGCAGGCACACCAAAGTGCTCTCCAGTGAAGGAAGGGGCCTTACCCCAGCTTCTTGCAGCTCTTGCATGGTGGACATGAGACTGAGCTTAAAAGTGAGAGGGGCAGCGCTGTTGTTCGCTATGGTGACAATCTTCTTCACCGTCTGTCCGACGGAGAGGGCTCCCAGCTTCACCACCTTTCCTTGTGGTTCCACAACATCAACCTGAGGCAGGAGGGATTAATATAAAGTGAAAGGAAAGGAGAAAAGGTTTTCTGCCACCCTCGTGGCAGAAAAACAAAACATGGTAGGCTGGGGAAGAGATGAGGAAAATTAGAGAGAAAGCCATGCTGGCTGCCTGCCACCTGCAGTTTTAGGATTTGGATTTAATCTCACCTTCATTTCTGTGCCCTTTCCTCGGACCTCGACAGTCTGCTGGCAAAGACCATTGATTTCAAAAGGGATGAGCTCACGGTAAGACGCAACCTCTCTGGGATAGAAAGTGATGGGCACCTCCACTGTCCCTCTTGGGCACAGGACGTACCCTGGGAAGTCCACCTCCAGGTGCGCGGTGCTGGTGAACGAGCAGTTCAAGCTGGCAGAAAGCACAGCAAAGAGGAGCAGAGGTGTCACAAGGCTGTGTGTGCTCAGGTGACAACATCAGGGCTGCTTAGGGCTCTCCTGTTTCCTCTCCCTGCATCCTCAGGATTTCACCCACAGGGGTCATGAGGACACGGAGCAGGCACGTGCTAAGCAAGGGCCGAAGGAGTGCATGGAGAAGGCCTACCTCACATCCTTGTCTGCCTTGTTCGTGATGACGAGGGTCTGACGGGCAGGTGGCATCCCAGCGTGGTAGATGAAGCAGGCTCCAAAGTTGAGTCTGGTGGTGGAGAAGTGGACAGTGGGCACTACCACGGTGGCAAGAAACACGCAGGTAAACGTGGGACCCTTGCTGATCTGGTGAGGAGAAAGACAGCATGAGCCGGCTGAAGAGATGGGAACTACAACTGCAAACACCAGAGATGGCTGAGGAGGAGGACGGGGGACAGCTGGCTGCAGCAACAATAAGGAAAAGCAGGTGCCAAAGGACCCTAGAATGGAAACAGGAGGTGGAAGGCTTGGGCTGAGAGGGAAAGGGTTTTTGGAGAGTCACGGCCCTGCTTTGTGCAGCCACGTGCTGAGCAGCGCGGCCACATGCTGACAGGAGCTTTCTGAGCCATGGGACCCGACTCAGCAGGGGCCTGGCAAGGAGAAGCAGCTCCATCTCCATGCACATCCAGGACCCCCGCAAATTAGGGACAGAAAGGGCCGGGGGATACATCCTGCCACAAAAGCACTTCCCAAAGTGGTCCTGGATAAGCACTTATTAAAATATTCCGTTCAGAAGTTGTCAGGCTCTTTATTTCGGCAGCAGGAGCCTCTTGGCCTTGTTCAGGCTCTTTAGTGATGGAGCTCACCCCTAGCTCTGGGCTCCTGCTGCCAAGCTGCTGCGTAGGGAAGGCGAAGGTTCCGTATTAAATGCTGGTGCCTCACCTGCAGCGTCAGCTCTACGTCCTTCAAAGAGCACATCTTCTGTGGGTGAAAAGCCAGCTGGGTCTCCGCTTTCCCCTCCGCCTGCACGGCGCCCATCCGAGGGGTGACGGTAAGGACCTGCTTACGGGCTGCGGGGCCACTCAGTTCCCACGAGAAGGTGAAGCTGAACTTGCCGTTATTGCAGATGCTGAAGATGCGTTTGATGTTCTCATTCAGCTGTACCTGCGGGGAGAAGGCAGCGAGGGCTAGGGGTTGGAGCACGTGCAAAGTGGCAGCTGGCCCAGCAAGTGCTCCTTCCTAATGTGCTCCTGCATCTTTCACATTCGGCTAATGACCTGTGTGAAAGATCAATCTCCCTCCCTCTAGAGACCCACAAATGAAGAAAAACATTCCCTCTTGAAAAACATTCCCAGATGGAGGTTGGTGACGAGGGGCGTCCCGCAGGGGTCCGTATTGGGACCGGTACTGTTTAATATCTTCATCAGTGACACAGACAGTGGGATCGAGCGCACCTTCAGCGAATGTGCAGATGACACCAAGCT